CCTTCTTCTCCTTTAGCTTCTTTTTTCCCTCCGTTGTTGGTCTATTCTCGTCGTCAGGCTTCCCCACCACCAATTGTCTCTACTCCTATTGTTGCTCCTTCTACTTCTGATGACTCTGATCCTGCTGCACACCAATATCCTACTCATGAGCGCCATCCTCCAAACAGGTTGGGTTGGTCTAATACATGTTTTTCTGCTTCCTATCGTACTTTTTTTTTCTGTTATTCATTCTTTTTCAGAACCACAGTCTTATACAGAGGCCTGTTAGGATCCTAATTGGGTTCAAGCTATGGAAGATGAGTTGTTTGCCTTACAGAAGACTAACACTTGGGAGTTGGTTCATTTGCCTGCTGGCAAGAATCTAGTTGGTTACAAATGGGTCTATAAAGTCAAGACTCATTTTGATGGTTCTCTCGAGCGCTACAAAGCTCGCTTGGTTGCCAAGGGTTTCTCACAAGAGTATGGTATTGATTATGAGGAGACCTTTGCCCCTGTTGCCAAGATGACTACTGTCCATACCTTGATTTCTGTTGTTGTTGTTCGACATTGGCCTCTCTATCAAATGGACTTTAAGAATGCTTTTCTTAACGATTATCTCACTGAGAAGGTCTACATGCGTCCTCCCCCTGGTCTTCTCCACTCCTCTGTGCAGGTTTGTCGTCTTCAACATGCTCTATATGGTTTAAAGTAGTCTCCTCGTACTTGGTATGATCGCTTTCAGACTGCGATTACCGAGCTTAGGTTTCATCATTCTGCTTCCGACTCTGCTTTATTTTTGAAATATACCTCGGTTGGTTTTGTTGCTCTCCTACTCTATGTGGATGATATGATCATCACTGGCTCTGACTCTTCTGCTATCTCTGAAGTCAAGCAACATCTCTTCCACACTTCGAAATGAAGGATCTGGGTCCATTGTGGTATTTTCTTGGTATTGAGGTTGCCTCTTCTCCAAAGGGCTATTTTCTATCTCAGGCCAAGTATGCTAATAAGGTTATTCATCATGCTGGTCTTACTGATATTAAGGTTTCTGATACACCTATTGAGCTTAATGTGAAGTTCAACTCTACTGATGGTGTCCTTCTAGATAATTCCACGGTCTATCGCGAGCTGGTGGGTTGTTTAGTTTATTTGACGGTCACTCGCCCTGATCTTGCTTATGTTGTTCATGTGGTTAGTTAGTTCGTTTCTGCTCCTCGCTCTACCTATTGGGCTGCTTTGGTTCGCATTCTTTGCTATCTCCGGGGTACCATCTTTCAGGACTTGTTGTTGTCGTCTACTTCCTCTTTAGACTTTGTAGCCTATACTGATTCTGATTGGGCTGGTGATGTTATTGATCTCAAGTCCACCTCTGGTTTCTGTATGTTTCTTGGCAATTCCTTGATCTCTTGGAAAAGCAAGAAACAAACTGTTGTTGCTCGCTCTACTGCCGAAGTCAAGTACCATGTTATGGTTCATGTTACTACTGAGTTTGTTTAGCTTCGTTGTCTTCTCTCTGATTTGGGTGTACCTCAGTCTTCTCCGACCTCCCTCTATTGTGACAACCGCAGTGCTATTCAGATTGTCCACAATACTGTCTTCCATGAACGGACGAAAGACATTGAGATTGATTGTCACTTTGTACGACAGCATCTGTAGTCTGGCTCTATCTCGCTTCCTTTTGTCTCCTCGGCTTTGCAATTTGCGAAGTTTTTCACCAAGACTCACATTGCTGCTCGGTTTCAGTTTCTTCTTAACAAACTCTCAGTATTTTCTGCTAAAACACTTTGAGTTTGAGCGGGGATGTGAGAATATATATTGTATATATGGTATATTAGGAATTAGGCAATTACCTTTCCTTTGTATTTCCTTTTTCTGTCATAGATTAGGGCTATATAACTGATGCACTCCTTGTAAACATACACAATTGAATATACATAAAAGCTTTCAGGATCTTACAGATAGATGTATATGGATGCCTTGGTAAAAACACTTTTTGGGTACAAACATTTGGGAAACGCAAATTGGAAAGTATATGTTTTGGAATTGGAAAGTATGTGTTTTGGAAATTTAGATACATTATGAAAATCTCTTTATATATATGAATCTTGATTATGCTAATTGTAGTTGGATAGCTGTTAACTGTTAACTGTTAACTGTTAACTCTGGGATGATAGATATATATGGATGCCTTGGTAAAAACACTTTTTGGGTACAAACATTTGGGAAATACAAATTGGGAAGTATATGTTTTGGAATTGGAAAGTATATGTTTTGGAAATTTAGATAAATTATGAAAACCTCTTGATATATATATATGAATCTTGATGAATTCTCCTTGAATGATATAAAACATGTTGATTTTTGGTTCTTTAGTGTTGGTTGTGATTGGTTGTGAATGTCTATCAACAACACACACACTTAGAGAGTTATGGAAATCATTTTTGTTTTAAAATGCTTGTGATTTCATTCAATAAAAATAAACGGAAGAAATTGTTTTTACTAATGATTGTCTCAGTACATATTGACAGGGGGAGCTTGTTCTATATCAAGTTGTTTTATTGCCTTGATATTTATATAAAAAAATATTTCTCATTATCCTTGTTTTGTTCTTGAAGCCCTTTTTATAGGGGGAGTTTTTTATCTCATTTTTCAAATCATTTATTTACAAAACTCCGTGAAAAACACTTCTTAATGCCTTCTTTTTGAAACTCATACTTTGAAAACTTTAAATATTTGTCATCATAAAAAAGGAGGAGATTGTTAACCCCAAGGTTATTCAAAATTTAAATTCTTATTGATTTTGATTATTGACAAATATCTAGAATTCATTTTATTATTCAAAGTTTCCAAAGTAATAGTATACAAATTGTGCTTCAATGGTTCTAGAAGATATATGATTCTAAAGTGTTGTTTCTCAGTGGTTTTTAGCCCCTCAAAACATGAGATTAGTATTTGTATGCAAAATTCTATTTATGCTTGAAACAGATCCAAGGGTCAACACCAAAATAGCAGGGTCGACACCAGAGTAAAGCTCAAAATGTCCTAGTGTTCCAAAAGCAAGGGTTGACACCAAGAACAGCAAGGGTCGATGCTAAATTTCATTGTGCAATCCAACAGCAAGGGTCAACACCAAGAACAATAAGGGTCAACACTAAATTTCAGTGTACAATCCAGCAGCAAGGGTTAACACCAAGAATAACAAGGGTCGACACTAAATTTCATAATGCAATCCAGCAACAAGGGTCGACACCAAGAATAATAAGGGTCGACACCAGGAACACCTGGAACTCAACTCAGAAAAGAGAAGAGAGCAAATGGTCAACACCCAATATATAGGGGTCGACAGTTGTAAATTTGGGTTTAAAAAAACCCACTTGCCAAATCAGATCTAAACTGACACTGATCATTTCTCAGCCACTTTTTCTGATCTATGTGCAGAATATGACATCATCTCTAATCTCTAAGCAGATTTTTCTGTCACCATATCTTCTATCAAGAGTTGACCTATGAAGAAGAGCATTAAATGAAAATCTTGTGCATTTAATGATCATTCTCTTCCCAAGACTTTTGTCACAACCTAAACTCCGTATCCAAAGGTTTAACGTCGCAACAAGATAAAAATAAAATAATTCTAAAATTTCTATAGGAGTAGCACAACGGATAAATTAAGTAAATTAAAATAAAATAAATGGATACCAAAATTCTGTATACACCATGATCTGATCAAACACAACTGGAAGATATCCTCCTTGATTTGCTTTAACGGCTGGAAGATTCAAATCTCCTCTCTCCAACAACTAGAAGCCATTAATGTTATAAAAATGAAGCTCTCCTCGTTTAATGAATACACTTCTTCACATATAACAAACCCAGAGCATTCAATAGCTTTGATACTTCATTGCACTTCCATTTTCACATCTGAGAGTGTCTTAAATTATCTCTGTGCTTACATTTTCATATCCAGCTTTTGAGAGAAAATATTTATAAAAGATGACAGTTGTACCTCTTATTTTTGTTCCTTATTTTCTGAGTAAAACTTTGTAAAGTGAGGTATTTAGAGGTCCTCAACAGATTGAAATAAATCATTTGTAAAAATCCACAAGCTAGGTGAAACTTGATGGTGCATTAATTCTTAGTGAAGAAATTCTCAATGAGGTCTCTTGAAGAGTGGACGTAAGCCGGTGAGGCGAACCACTATAAATCCTTGTGTTGAGCTCTTCTTTGCTTTTCTTTTATTTTATGTTTATTCATTTTATGTCTACTGCATTTAATCACTTAGTCATTTGAAATCTAATTTCTGGTCAAATTTTTTAATAACCCAATTCACTCCCTCTCTTAGATTGTCTTCGTGTATAACATAATTTTTTGTTTTTAATGAATTTTTTAAATATTTTAAGCAAATTTTTTAGTTTTTAGATACACCTAACCTAAATATACCTAAAAAATAAAATATTTTTTTAAAAAATCAATAAATATATAAATACAAAAATGTACTAAATTTTTGTATTTTTTTTTAATATTTTTGATGTTTAGTGAAATTTTTTTTAGAAATATTATATTTTTTTTATTATAGTTATATTAAGTGTATCTAAAAAGTAAAAAATTTACTTAAAATATTAAAAATAAACTTAATATATTAAAAACAAAAATAAAAAATAAAAATCTCAATTTTTAGAAAATTAAATTCAAAAAATTAAAACCAAACAAAATGTAAGGATTTCTGAAATTATAGAAGTACCTTTGCTAATTTGGTCTTCTCCTCCAACCGATTATCCCTCAACCATGAACCACAAATGACAAAACAGGGTGTCACATTCACTGTATCTTTCCCCCCAGGTGTTGAAGTTTTACTCAAATCATATCTTCTTCACAAGCCCACCGCCCACCCAAGCATAAACAAGTGATTGCCTTCATGTGCTACCAGACTCATTACTACACACACCACAATAGTTTTTAACAAATACAGTGACACTTCACACTTCCCATACACTCACAAAAGGGGAGAGAGAGAGAGAGAGAGATTTAATTGAACTTTGGGAAGCTCAATCACCCAAATATCATGATCCGGGGGAGGCCCCCTCATTTCCTCCATATTATTATTTATTTGCTCGTCAATATCATAAATAAAATGCCAATACCTCTCCCAGGATTTACACATAAAAGCTCAAAGTGACATGTTTATGACTTTTGACTACAAATGAATGAATTCAAAACTCCCACCCTATATATACCCTTTCAAGAATTTCCTCCACTATCTACAAACCCACATCTAACCCTTCTTACCCAACTAAAAGAATTGGGAAAAGAAAAAAAAAATGTAAACTCCCAAAATCAATGGAGTTTGAATATTATGAATTACCCAAGTAACAAAGTTATCTGTCTGTGCTATTATTGACATGGGAAGAAACTCGAGTTTTAATTGGTTTTAACTTCAAGCCCATGCTTTCTGGAGAGAGAAGATCCGGGGAGATGCAAGACGGGCTGAGGGGGCTCCTTGGGCTGCCGCTAAGCTGGCAAGGCCTATATAATCCGTACCCCATGAAAAAATACTCCATGGGTACCAACATTGCATGCGGTTGCTCTTCTGTTACCACTGATCCACAAGCCTGGACCTGCACAAACATACTCACTTGCATAAGCGTTATAATCAAGGCATTTTTCCCAATCACGAATGCACTTTTGTTCAAATAAATGTATTTATTCATTTTTGTCAAATGACAAAAAAGAAATGTTTTAAAATTGTCGGACTACTTTGGGATTCAATAATAATCGCCAGCTCAAAAATGGTGGCTAGCTTTTAGCTGGTAAGCCTCTTGGCAGTAATACTATAAATGGGGAATTTCATCCGGGTTGGGGGACCATGTGCAGGGGAGGGTGACCCTCTTTTGTGTAACCCATCACCGTTACACCCAAAAAATAAAAAATAAAAAAGAACCAAACAATATATATTATATAAATTTATTGCCAGCCTAAAAAGATAGAGAATTTAGCAATTAGATGGCATGATAGTCAAAGGGGTTATTGTTCATGGCATATATTATATCAGGAATCAAATTTGTTATATGTAGTAAAACAAGTTGGATAGACTGAAAATGCTTCAACAAAAACTAATTCCATTTGAAATGTGCAGATTTGGCATTATGTTTAGGAACCAAACATTTCAGCCAAAAAGACACTAAAAAATCCAATTCCCAATCAAGCCCTAATTATTCAAGAAGAATAACTCAAATTTAAGTTAGATAATTCATATAAGAATTTCAAAATTGGATTAAAAAGCTTTATAATGAGGATTATAAAGCTTTATTACAGTAGATATTTGAAATCATACTAAGGGGTCTCCTCCTAGCTCAAGGATCTTACTGAAATACATCTTTTCTATATCAACTTACCTTCTCTACGGTGACTAACTCTCTAAGATTTTTATAAAATGTAACCTCAAATCCCTTGATTTGAAATCCACATCCATCCAAACGAACACCAATCTTTTTACTTATACCGGGATGGGCCACCACCATGTAAATGTTTTGTTCATCTCATATCATACAAGCATTCTTACATACTGATTTGATGCATCACATACCTCAACTAAGGCACTATATCTTCTATCCAGTTTTGATGTCATGTGAACAGCCTCTGAATGGAAAGGAGAGTCCTCGCCAACAAATATGAGTGTCCGACATTTAAGTCTCTTCAACCCATCAGTAATGTCAGGTCTCCTGCTAGTTGACCAAACAAAGGTCAGAGAAGTTTGTTTACCGATTAATTGCAAAAGCAAGGAACTCATGGAAAAAGAATGAACACACAATATGCAGTACAATAAGCAATCTCGGACTTGGCCTTTACCTATCAATTGCTTGAAGAAACCGCAGAACATTTATGCTCTGCCTCTCATCCAGTAACTGGAGAGAAAAAAAGAAGAGAGAGAGAGAGAGAGGTCAGATTCCAGCAAGTGTGCACTTAATACAAAAAGGATTAGAATAGTTGAATTGAAGCACTAACTCTTCTACATGCTTGAACAATGTCTGATTCTGGGACATCTATACTACCGCGTACTTCCTGATACAACTTAAAGGAATCTCATCACTCAACCTAATCATATAAATCACAAAGCATGAGCTGAAAATAATAAAGAATAACTGGTGGACTGGAAGTACTAGAATACCTTGCTAAAATACCGTTGAAGCAAGAAGTCCTTCACCAAACCACACATGCCATAAAAATATAGCAAATTTGACGTCACCTAGAGATAAAATGGAACTTGGATTTAGTACAGAGATTAATGTCCTTGACAATGTACAAATGACAGCAAGGTACGCAAAAAACACCTTATTATACAACCATTCTGTCCAAGAGGCATTTTTGCATAAAGGGGATACAAGTATCAAACCAAGAACCCGCTCCCTATATTTCATCTGTAACACAAAACCTTGGTAAATTAACCAATCCACATATATTTTAAAGTTCATAAAAACTGTCGCAGAGGAAACATACAGCAAATAGAGTGAGAATGTAAGCACCCGCTGTTACCCCCATGCACATCACCGCACCAAGCCTGAACAAGGTCACATTCATGTTGTCATACATCAAGTTACAAGAATTATAATAAAAAATAAAAAATAAAATAAAATAAAAATAGAGAAGAAAAAACAAAGATAACTTAAGACCAGAAAATGTATTTCTACATCCTCTTTATGCCAGCAACAAACACAAGAAAACTATATAACTCCAATCCTTTTTTTAGTTCTGAGCATGGTTCGATAAAAAAAATTGGACAAATAACAGTCAAAAAGATACGAGTAGTATTAACAATATTGAAGTAATGAGATTACCTAAAATGGTTGAGAACCTCAATAATTTGATCTGCTAAGTCATCAACAGAAGGTACAGGATCATCCGGACAAATTGCTGCTGCTCCTAACTGCAAGAACTCTTATGGAAGTCCCAGAATAAATCTTATGTGAATAATAGCATTCAGTAGAAAGGACACAAAAAAAGCTCAAAACAAAAATTCATGAAACAAGAATAATAGAATCATACAAATGCAGAAAAATCAAACAATTCACAGACCTCGTGGCCGGGAGGACTAATATGGTAAATGCAGAAGTTGTGGAGCAGCAAAGAAGCTGCTTCAGGACAAAAGAACAATCCTTGGAAACATGACATATCTGCTCAGAAAGTTGCAAAATCAGGTGATAAACATTAATAGATTGAAAGGCCAAAAAACAAAACAAGCAAAAACAATGGTGTCAAAGCAATGAGATTCAGGGAAGAGCAAAAATTTGAATTTAAAACATAAGACATGGAAAGGAATAAATCTATCACTTACGATTTAGAGCCAAATCAGGATAGGTAACCAGAGCTGGCTTGTCTTGGTCTCCGTACACAATAACAGACACAAGACCACGGCCAGTTCGTACAATATGTTCCTGCAATAAAATTATAATAAATTACATGCATTGTAAACAAATCATCATGCTTAAGCGGGATTAAAAAATAAAGAAAATAAATCAACAGGGGAATAACAATTCCAAGAAATCATTGAAGAGATCGAAACTGCAAGGTACCATTATATTTTCTAAATAAAAAACCCTAAATTGGTATGAGAAATCATTTGCTTTGTGTTTATAGACCCTTTAAATGAAGCCAAAATCTGAGCTTTTCTGGCAATCTTATTCCCAGGAAAAGCTTTCCATGTGCACTGACCCTTTTTGAAACCAGATTGCTACATCAGCATACTATATATTTCTAAAAGAAGATCAAACAAACAACAATTTGTTGGTAACAATCATTGGATTCTTAATAAAGTAATGACATTGAATTTAATATAATAAAAATGACATTGACAGATAAACTAATTATACTGATTGCAACTTCCAACCAAAAACAAAAGAAATACAAGGATAAAGTAACAGCCACGCTGTGTTCATGAAATGAATATAAAAAGTCTCTGCATGATTGAGAGTTTTTACCAATAACAACAAAGAATCAGACGAAACAACAAAGGAGTGAGAACAAATAAGACTTGATAGGAAGAACAAAAATAATTAAAACAATGCTCCTGTTAGCTAATCAATATCAATGATTGACACCCCATTTGATTGCTGATAAACAAGAGTTGAGAAAGCAACTATATATTAAAAAAATTCACTTGCACTCGGATAATTCCAACCATTTGTCCAAGCTGAGCTCATTCTTTCATCATTTAGAAACCAATAATAACACATACAACACAGCATCAAATAATTTTAATTTCCTATTTCTCCCTCTCTCTCTTTTTTTCCCTTTTGGGAGAGGAGAGGTATGGATAGGTTCTTCAGTTTTCTCAGCCACCAAACAAAACATTATAATAGAACTAAAGAATGGAAATTGAATGATTTAAAGCAAATTCACACAGCAAGAGGGTTCAACAAGACAATTAATAGGTCGCATTGACAATAAGAAAGAAAGAAAAACCAGCTTCACAAACACAGAAGAACAAAAAAAGTAAATAATTAATTAAAACCCAAAATTATTACTGCTTTAATTCGTTAAAAAAAAATCAAAATCAAAACAGTCAACAGATCTACCTCAAAAACTTACCAATTTCAAGCTTTCCATTTTTTCAAATAAAGATTAAAAAAAAAGAAAAAAAAGAGGATGGACCCAAAACAATTATCAAACATCAAAACAACCCTAACCCTTCAATTTGGATGCAGAGAAAAGCAAAAAAACAAGATGGAAAAATTCAAAAATTTTATTTTCCTTCACCAACATTTCCAAACAATAAAAATACACCATAAACCAAGAACTCAAAAATACCGGCTCGAAATATTCGAAAAATGCGAATCCTTAAATCCAATTAACCGAACAAAATGCATAATATTTTAATTGATCAATCAATTAAACAAAAATAAACAAAAAATCAAACCTTTCCGCCAAGATAAATCGTTTCCATATCAACAGAAACGGAATCGCTTGAATCCGCCATGGCCGACAGCTCTGTGCCTGAAAAGCCCAAAGCCCCTATCTCTCTCTCTCTCTCTAGAAAATATTTTCTCTCTCTATCCTTCCGTTTGTCTCCCTCTCTCTCGACGGCTTATATACGAAGCGATTCTCTATCTTTGTTTCTCTCTCTCTCTCCCTCTCTCTCTGTATCTAACTGTAAAAGAACATGCGGTTAATCTCCACCGACGACGCAAATAACGGAATTTAACCGGGGACTCTGGTCAATATTTAACCATGGTTAACTGACCGACAGCTTGGCACTTTTAACTTTGCCCACCACGCAATCATTTTATTCGCCATATATCTGCTGCGTAGTATACTTTCGTTTGACAAATAAGTTCGGTGACTTTGATTTGAGTTTTTTAGATTTAAGTTTTTTAAAAGTTAGTTTTTTGTAAGTTTTTTGAATTTTTTAATTTTTGTAAAAAAAAAATAATAATTACAAAATAAATGTAACATTTATTATATTTAATTAAAATAATTTATTTTATTTTATAATTAAAATAATATATTTTACTATCTTATATGAATATTTTAGTCTAAGGGCATGCCAAACGAACCTAAGGAGTGATTAATAAGTTTAAAGGCGACGTCGTTTCAGAGTTGGTGCGGTATTTTCTCTCTCATAGGTTTTTTGCTTTCCACGTGTATTAAACACGGATAAATTTTTTACAGTCAATTTTTTGGTCCTTTTATATTATTATTTTTTTGTTCTTTTGACAATATTGACTGAGTGTTGAGGTGTCGTGATGATGTGGTTCTCGAATCCGTGAATGGTTATTGTTCGATCATTACCTTTTTTTATTTTTTTACTATTATTTATTAAATTTAAGTTAAAATTTAATTAAAAGTTAGATCTCTTTTTCTTTAAATGGTTTATTAATTTGGAAATTTATCCTTTGTATACCACTATATTCTATATTCAACAATGATTCATCCCATTAAAAACATCACCACTAATAGCACTAATGCATTAAAAAAGTAAAAAAAAATAAAAATAAATACAACTCCAAGACCAAAACATCACATCATTAATAGCGGGACCCACTGTCACCTAATTAGTGGGAGCACTAATTAGTGCTCCCAAGCATTTTTCTTCTATATTATATTATATCATACTTCATTTTGTGTATCTTGTTCTCAGCTCATGACGATATTTTGAATCGTGTATTTTAATGAAAAAAATTAATTTTATCGGATATTGATAAATAGATGAAAATCATATTTCATTTTATGAAATTGATAGTTTAAGTTTAAAATTATAGCTATCATACATTTTAAAAAAATAAAATATAATTTGTTCACGTGTTTAATAATATCTGATAAAATTAATTTTTTTTATATAACACTTCTTTGTTGTTGAGCCTATGAGATAAATAATTCAAATAATCGTAGTGGCACTACAGCATTTTCTTAGTTTAGTGACATTTGAAAGTGTCACAAAATTATTCTTTTAATGACATTTTTTGGTCTTGTGACATTCTGAACAAGTGCCACTTCTATCGGTGTCACGGTAGATACGAGTGCCACGGTAGATACTTGCAAGTGTCACTGCACCGTCATGGCTGAAAACTTTCAATGACATTTTAATGTCATGGTAGATATTATTTGTGGCACTATCAAGCGTCATTAAAAAAAGAATTAGTGACACTTGTAAGTGTCATTACACCATCAAGACAAGCATTTTAGTGACACTTTAATGTCATGGTAGGCACTATTCGTGACGCTAGAAAGGATTAGAAGGCAATAA